TACATCTGATGCCATTGTATATGGTTTCTTTTTTAAAACTTCTGGTGCAATATATGGTAGTACTCCACATATATCATCTGATGATGATGTTTGACTAGCTGGGCATGATAACCCTAAGTCTGCAATAAGTGAATATTGTTTATGGTATAGAAGAATATTACCACTGTGGAAATCATGATGAATGGTTTCTTTTTCATGAATATCTTTTAACCCTTTAATAATTTGTTTAAGAATATTAATTTTCTTTTCCCAATTTAAATTTTTAAAATCTTTTGTTAAATAATCTTGGAGACTTCCATCCTCCATATATCCCATTACAAATATATATTCTTTTGTAATTGGATCTTGTGCTAAACCATAAATATGAATTATATCATGTTTATCATATAATTTCACATAATTTTTGAACTAAATAATAAATAAAATATTTAATTACAACAATAATAATCAATAATATCTAAAAATCTGAAAATAAATAAAATAATAAAATAATTTACCTCATTGAGAAATTCATCAGAAATATTCTGTGAATTATGCAGTTTTTTTAATGCCACAATCTTATCTTTACTAGTTCTTTTTTCAATTACATAATTTACGCTTTTCTCACCATTTAACCAAGTAGCTTTGGATATAGTTGCAAAACCACCTTCACCTATCTTTTCAATATTTGTTAAATCATCATAAGGAATCCATTGAAGATAATAACGATCAAAACAACTTGTTTCTTTAAGTTGTGTACTTTTAATCAACTCGTTTAATGTTTCATTGCCACTAGTCCATTCTTCAGTTAATAGCTTTGGATCACACGACTGACACCATGAATATGAAGTATTATATCTATTACAAGTTGAACATTCTCCATAATATTCTTTTCTTTTCTTTGAATATTCATCATCATCATTTTTGTCAGTAGAAGTATCATCATGATGTTTATTTTTATCTAAAGTGTTCTCCATCTTTAAAAATTAATTTTTTTGTTTTATTTTTAGCCGCAAGTTTATATAAACACAAAGTATATTAATATTTATGATTTGTGTACATTTCGGCATTGTGTAAATAAATTTGTCATGACACCCCAAAGTTGTCATAAGCCGTAATTTAATTCGAATACTCATTCGTAACAAATAAAACAAATAATAAACCTTATTCGAATAGAAACCCTATCTAGAGTCTGGGCTGCGATCCTATCATTTAATTAGACTGGATGTCTTTGGGCCAGACCGTAAATACTAATACTAATACCAATACTAATGATTGATTGCAACCGTAAAAAAAAATATAAAAAATTGGATGTAACACCAATTTTTAATTTCCATGGTAACGTGACATACGTAACAACAAAAATGAAATCGTGGTTTTGGAAGAATTTAAGGGATATATACAGCCAATAAAAAGTTTAGTAAAGTGACTTGTAATAACGAGGTTCAACTGTGATTAATTATTTTTTTCTATATTATTTATATATAGAATAAAAAACGACACAGTATATTACAATCTATTCTAAATTTAAAGATTTTGGATTTTTCTTTCCCAAATCTACACACACACAGATATATATAATTATTAAAAAAATCATTGATACAAAAAAAGGAACACCAATATCATATACGAAGATTAAAATCAAAAAAATACCTGAATATAACTTTCAGATAAAAAGATCATTTGTGCATTAATCTCTTCCACAATCAAATCTTGAATTTGATACCATTGTTCTTTACCACGATGTTGAACATGTACTTTATAAATCCCATTACTTTTACCTGCTTTGCCTTCATGGCATATATTTGCTATTAAATCATAATGTGTGTCTAACATTTCTGATTCTGGATTTTCAAGAACTAAAAATAAACAAATAGATAATTAATTGATTAAAGGCATAAAATAATCAATGAATGACAAGGAATAGTTTTCAATAATGGAATGCATACTTACAATCTTTCATATCAATGTTTTTAATAGGGAAGTTTACAATTGTGGGATTTTTCTCAAGATCCCAATTATTTTTTGTGAAACGTTTAATATGGAAAATTAAGTAATTAGGCAAACTAATCAATTGAAATCTTTTTAAAGCACCTGCTGATTCCTGTTGTTATATATATGATTTTTTTTTAAGTATAAGTAAATGCTGCATACATGCATGTGAAATTATAAATTCATTAAAATTAATTTGAAAATTGAAATTAACCAGAGTTGTTCTACCGTCATATTTTTGAAGCACTGTTGATAATGCAACCTAAAATATATATATTATATTATTGAATACACTCTCTATATAATAAATATAAATCAATTATTTACTTGAGGAATGATATTTTTCTCGACTTCATCCTGAAATAAAGGTGGTGGTGGTAAATCCAATGTTAAAAACAAAAATCGTGTCCTTTTTAAAGATATTTCTTTTTTTTATAATTGAAAAAAAAATTTTAATATAAATTTTAACAAATAATAATAATTAATATATAAGTAATGGAGTTTCACCTCTATCAACATCAAACAATTGACGATTCTTTTCATCAGTATTATCTTTTGTAATTATGAATTGAGATTCTACCTTTACTTCTCCTTGAAAGATTTTATATATTATACTTGAATCTGATTTCTTGGTACCACATAAGTCTTTATGTAATGTATTAAGAAACCAAGATAGAAAATCAAGAGGATCTGTTTGTTCTGCAAGTTTGAATCGTTTATTACTTGCATTTGATATTTCTTGTAATAGTTCATGAGGACTAACTTGTCCTTTAAATGCTCTTGGATTCCATATTTTTTTAACAAGTGTACTAAATCTTTGAACTAATAATATACAAATGAGTGGAAAGATTATAAAAAGGTTTTTGCATGTAAGTAAATTAAAAAAGTGAATAATTACCTAATTGAGATTTATTTTCAAAGTTTTGCAACATAAAGTAATCTCTAAGTGGGGGAATATGTGCTAATGCTTGTATTATTACATTAACATAGTCATTAGCTTTTACATTATTCAACCCAACAAAACCTATAATTTTTTTTTTCGATATAAAGTAAATATATAATTCCCCTCAATAATGCTTATAATTGATAATTAATTACCAGGTAAATATTTTTTATTATTTAAATCATATGAATGTTTAATATTTTGATCCAATTGTGCAACTTGTTCTTTTGTAAACGTCGGATATAAAACATACTAACCTCGTACATTGTAATAATAATAAAAAACTAATTAGCATATAAAAAAAGAAAAGAATTTGAAATGAACCAACCACATTAATTGTTATTATTATCATTTAATAAAAACATATTTTTTTAAAAATATAGATACCTTAATATCATCTAGTGATGAATCTTTGACTTCATATCCATCAGGTAATACATATACCTATATATATGTTAAATAATCATTAATTTACAAAAAAAAATTTCTACCCATGTATATAAAATTTAATACTAACTTTTAGAGTATGTAAATTAATAAAAACATGATGATCTTCATGTAAACTATGGAAATAAGCATGTGAATTACGACCTCGTCCTAAATAAAATATTTATACAGTTATTTTAAGCAATGCAGTTGCTTTAATATTTATGTTTTTCAATTATATTACATTACCTTGAAAATATTTGCCACATACTAAACAGGCATAAACATTTAGATTTGACAAAGAAACTGAACATACTTTTTCAAAATCAAAATCTAACATGTGTCGATTTATCTAATAAACAAATAATTAATTAAAAGAATCCTTGAAAAATAGATATATAACAAAAAACCTACAGTATCCAAATAAAGATCACTTGAATTATTACTATTTTTGCTTTCTTGAAGGCGAATTTTTTTAGAGTCTGGCTCTCTATCAACAAAAGTATCAACTGCTGAAGAAATTTGTAAGATTATTCGTGATTGGTTTAATTCATTAGAATTTAAGGAAATGGATAAAATAAAATTTGACCCTTCAACAATTACTGCAACAATTCATCCAAATGCTGTTTACACTAGCAGATTATTAAAATTTACAAGCCTTCCCCAGCCTGTGAATTCCAATAAAGTGACAATTATTGGTAATAATAATGGTAATTATTCATTGATTATTTTCATTTTTTATTGATTTTTAAAATTATAATTTATTAATATCTCTTGATAAATATTTGTAGATTCTATGCAAATTGAATTAACTATACCAGATGGATTACTTGAATAAGTTAAATTTTATCATTTTATTATGTATTTAAATTATTTATTATTTATTTTATTTATTCAGCTACTGTAGCTGTGATATTAAATATCTTGAGAAATGAAATTATAGATAATTAATTAGTTATATTTAATAGTGATATTATATATAAAGGTAATAACCTCCCACAATTGATATTTTTTCCATTTGAAATTTGGATGTCAAATATGCACATTCAATAATTTTGTTGTTGTATGATATTTGGGCTATTATATATTTAAAAGATAAAATAATCATGAGACAAAAATATTTATTTATATTACAAAAATATTATTGTGTCATATATGCTGACAAGGAAGAGAGAAGTCAACATGGCATGTTGATGTTAAGTTGAAAAAATTAATCTTTTAGAAGGAATTGTCTATTTTCAAGAGATGTTAAATTACAAATGTTCAATTTGTTTTATCCATTTTACTTGAATAAATACTGAGATAGTAAATTGGAACTGACCTGGGGCCCTGATTATTGTCAGCCATTTCCTTTTATATCCAGACGTAATCATGTAAAAAGTCATGTTATATGCAATGTTTAAACAATTAGAAATTGCTTAAGAATAATTAATCATCATTAATAACTAGTTAATTAACTAGTTCACCTTTAACACTTTTACATAAAATAATCTTTGTAATTAATTAATAAAGACAGTGTGATTTGATCCTTAATCCTTTCTAATGACTAATGGTTTGGCTAACCTTTAATTATTAGTTAGGAACCCTTTTGATTGTACTGTGTTCTGTATCGCTTGTAAGGACACCTCAAATAGCATAGTTATTTATGGGTTAGTTTGACTATTTGGATTGTGTCAGATGCAAAAGACCCCTTTTGGCCATGATCTAGGCTGTGTGCAAAATTTAGTAAGCAACTCAGATTGCACACTCACAATATTCAATGTAATTTGAATACTCAGCTTCATAATGAATAAAACAAATAATTCTTATTTGTACAGAAACCCTACCATAACTTGATCTTTGATGCAAAGGTAGAATTATTTCAATTCATTATGATGATGATGATATTCTCTTTGGTAGCACTAATATCAGCTCTATCAACTAACTGGGGTAGATTCACCAGTTTCATCAAGCAATTGATGAAGTTTCTCTCGAAGATTTCTTGAGTAATCAATATCTAACAATTCATTGGATCTTTTTTTCTGTTTATCTATTTTATTTTTATCAACAATATTTAGCGATTATTATTATTATTCACCGAAAAATTTTCACTGGATAATTAGTGAATACTCGCGCAATTGAATGTAATTTTTTTAATACATGTAATACTATTTTATCCACTATTACACTATTATCAACACTCCTTCTATTATAACAATATAATATATCAAGTAATATAAATACCCAACTGTGTCATCGTTAGCTAAAAATATTTATGCATCGCAGCAACTTCTACTCCAAATGAACGTCTATTTAATGAAGCTGGAAATACAATGGCAGCCAAACGAACAAAATTGAATCCATCGTTATTTGAAAGGATTCTATTAAATTTATTTATCGTTATATTTTAAATAAATTTAAATCAAAGAGTATTCAACGGATATTCAGTGGACATTCGGCAGATATTCGATGAATGACCGATTATCCGGTAATGCGAATGTTCGCTTTGTTGCAGTATGCTCCATACACATGCAAAACAATTGGTATCATATTTAAAACCAAGCTTCGCATACTAGTTAATAATAAAAATTCAAAATGAAATTTTTTGAGAAGCTCATGAATAGGAATAGCATAGAATGTAATCGTTTTACAAAACCAGCAAAAAATTATTCAAATGATAATCATTCAAAACATTGCTTATAACAATTTCTTTCTTATGTTAATTATTATTATCATATTACTATCAATATTACCATCAAATATCACTACTACTCTATTAATATTGCATTACCAAACTTCTTGTTGATATCTACGATTTTTTTCAAGTAAAGCAATATATTTTGTAGCTTGATCGTCTGTCATCCCGCCTTCGGTCATGAATACATATTTGAATGCATTCATCACATCATTTGGCATTTTTTCAGATCGTCTATTTAATTAATTAGTTAGTTAGTTAACCCCAAAATAATAAATTTTTTATTTTATATATTTACTTACCCGGACAGATAAATATATCCTTCACGTTCATACACAATCTCCCAAAATAATTGGGAATTCTCTCTGATAATATCTTGGACATATACTTTTTTATCCTTATAAAAATTGTTTTTTAAAAAAATTAGTTGGTTTGTAAGTGTGGTGGTAAACATATTTGAATTTGAATTATGAATAATTGATTGAGTAAATAAGTGAATGATTACCTGATCTCTAGAGAATGCTACAAATATTTTTTTCAATTGATTATTATCAACATATTGTTTCCATTCCTCTTTATAATAATAATCTTTTTCGCGATTTCTACAACCAAAAATTAAATAATTCTCTAATTCATTTTACGCGCATACATATAAATATAATAAATAAATAAACATTAGCCAATCAACCTCAAGTTTACATCAAAATTTTTAACTGTTTTCTTTTCAATATTATTATTATTTTCTTACCTGTTGCTCCTTCGGATATTCGTTCTTGCAAAAATGTTCGCATGACTGCTATTCCAGTACCTAATTAATTAAACAATGATGATAATATTATTACTATTTAAAAAATTTTTTTTAAAAAATAATAATATCATTAATATTCACCTGGTCCTATCAAGATTATTGGTGTTGATATCGAAGTAGGCAACCGCATGGTACCACGTGTAATTCTAATTGGAATCAGCGTTTCTTTTTTTATTGAAAAACAAATTAAATACAAATTCCAAAAAAAAATTTATTATTTACAATAATATTAATACCCAATTCCAAAGTGGATAGCCATTTAGTACAGACACCTTGACGTGGTTTCTGCAATCTAGTTTTATAATTGACAATGGCAACTGTTAAATGAATTTTCTTTGGGTGAAATTTTAATGATGATGAGATGGAAAATTGTCTAGGTAGTAATTCTGGAAATATATCAGGTATATAATCAATTGGTATTTTTGCTGATGAAAAATCATAAAGCACTTCTACTATTGTCCTGCGAACACGTTGACTATATGCATACAAATCATCCTTTATCCCCAAAAAAGTAATTAATAAATAAAACCATTAATAATGATATATATGTTAAATGAGACATCATTACCTGTCCTTCAGCACTACAAAACTCTTTTAATTTTTCAGTGTGATCCGCATCTGTAGTAAAAAATGATAGGAAATCAAAGAATGATCTACGCGGTGTACTAAATATGTCTAAATATTCCTCAAACATTTTTCTTAATGTCAGAGATGTGCCCCAATGTGAAGGTATTATTTTATCTGAATTTTTTAAAAAAATTATAAAATGAAATAAAATAAATTATCAATTATTCGATTCTTTTTTTCTCCTTGCAATCTTCATAAAAAAAAAAAAAATTCACCTTCATCATTAGGAATCAGAATAAAAGGATCATCTGCAATATCAGACCAATCCATCATTTTAATGAATTCATCCACTTCTTTAACCGAATTCTTTGGATGAATAATTACAACATCACCTGGTTGATACCTTGAATTAATATATATATAATATAACAGATAAATAAAACTTTTAATGACCATTCTAATCATTGTTTAATATACATATATATATATATATAAGCCCACTTTAATTCCGAATCATTAACTTCTAATTCAATATGACGAACATCTTGAAAATGGTCATTGGCTGTGATCCGTTCATTTTTAATCAGACGAGTCAAAATCAAATTTTTGCTATTATCATTATTATCATTATTATTATGTGCGCTATTTCTATTCACACCACCGTCATCCTTATTATTATAATTGTTGTTGTTGTTGTTGTTGTTGTTGTTTCCATTTTGTTCAATTTTATGATTAATAAATTTTAATAGAAAACTTGGTTCTAGCGTATAAAAAAACAAATTTTTTTTAAAAGTTAAGGATAATAATATTAATAATATCATTACAATAATTCGAACACTCTATATATAATCAAGTAAGGATATAATACGTCATCGGGTATAATCTTGAGATTAGGTGGTAATGGATATAGATCCATTAATGCTTTCCACAATCCTCTCAACCAAGGATCAAGCATTCCATCAATACTAAATTTTTTTTAATTAATAAAAAAATGAATAATGATATTATTATTATTATCAAAATGAACACATGAAAAATTAGCATGTACATCTATATATAAATCATCACTCATAATTAACTTAATAACCAAATAACTAACCCAAGGTAATGTTGATCATCACCTTCACCACGAGGATAAATACTTTCAGCTCCTAATTGTAAGAGTCGCTTATAAAGTTTTTTTGCTGGCCAATTATATTTGACATATGATGAATCACCAAGACCAAAAACCGTGAATTTCATTTGATTCAAAATATCTTTTGGTAAATTTTTTCTTAATAAAAATTTCCAGAATTTCTATATCAAAAAAAAATTATTTTTTCATATTATTGATTAGTTGAAGAAATCAAATCAAATATTAATAAACTTACTTTCATATTATCAGGTTCATCGCCCTGTCCAGTAGTTGAACATACAAAAATCACCAATTCTTCATTGATCAAATTATCCTGAGTGAGATTTTATGGGGGGGTTTTTTTTTTTGAATAATGAGCTACATACATATATATTTATTATATCACCACTTTTATCTACTTTTTAAATATAATACTATTTATTTATTATACTATCAATCTTTACCCTATTGTATGAGTCCATTGCAAAATTTCTTGCTCTAAAATGTCTTCTTTTTGCTTGTCTTGTGATTCTTTCAGCAACATCTTGTGCAAAACCAGTTTGACTACCATAAAGTATCAAAATTTTACGATCTGCGCTAGACATTTTTAAAAAATTGATTATAAACGGACGAGACGCAGCAAAAACATTTCTGTATTAGTATAACCAGTACAGCTCGAGTCATCTCACTTTTGTCGATCAGCGGCAAAATTTCAAATTATATTACACTGAAATTAACTATTAAAAAAAAAAAATTTAATACTAATCTAAATTATTTAAAATATTACTTAGAATAATACGATGA